AGGTATCTTTACTAGTTAAATTCGAATTTATCTTCACACCCTTCAATTTAGTCGGATCTCGCCTCTATACAATAAACTGGAATTTTTTGTCGCCTTCTGACATCTTCATTCGTCAATACATTTTCTCAATATTTGTGCCGAATAAGCACCTTGGTTTTCGGAAGCGGATAAATGTTAAGAATGGTTCACTCTGTATTACTGGTCCTGCATACATTGAGTCGTTTAGAGATAATCCAGGTGAGGTGATTGCTGATGCCTCGAACACCATTCTCAATTTATTGGGTTCTCCTTTACGCACACCACGATAGGGTATAAAGGAATTTGGAACATATATTGTGTTGGGATCAATTTAGGTCATGTGGCCTAAACGTTCGTATTTATCCATAAATTTGGCATATTCGCTTTCAAAGTATTATCCGTAGTCAATTTCTTTTCCAGTGCGTAAGCAGGATTTATATTCATTTCTTTGGAATCTCCCTAAGCTGAGGTGTTTTCTGCGACGGAACATTGGTTATGAATTGTGTATTATCCTTACGGCAAAACGTGCTTCGCACTGCTTTTCTGAGAGTAAGCTCATTCGTCCGGATTCTAGTACTTCCTCAATTTGCCAAGAACGTTCTACATTGTATTGAAATTCATTTTTGGCAGACGCTGCCCACGCGCCCTGCTCTTTCTGTCACCGTCCAACCAAAGACTGTATCTTGAAGGTTGTTGTAACATTGCTCGGCAATTAATTGACCTTCCATTATCGACTAGAGATAAGGCTAAAGATGGAGCTTCTGGCCTATTTGGCGTTTGACTGATAATAGGTTGTGGGTAGATATATGATGGCAGAGTGTTCATTCTTGTCCCGTTTATAATAGAGCGTGGTATGGCGACGATCATTGCCTTTTTATGCACCTTCCGGTGTCGTAGTTAGTATACGTGTGACCCTAGCGTAGACAATTGAGGCGTGGATTATGCGTCTTGATTATTTCATTCCGTTGCTGAACATTCGCCTTCAAGAATGTTGGGCACTTTTGTACATTGTGGGATTTCTTATATGCAAGGCAATCTGCTGTATGCAGCAATGACTCTTTTTACAAGCTCTCTTTCTTTACTCCCAACTGTATGTAGAATCCGTAATCTTCAGGAACCCCAAAAATTATTTTAAGGTCGGCAAAATACTCTTAAATCTTAAATCTTGAACTGCTCGAAAAGTAAGTGGGTTGCCTAGCTGCGTTCTTTGGGAATGAAGGCACATCCCACCCATATATTTGTACTTATACATTTTGTAACGCCATGAGAGTCGTTAGTCACACCACGCATCTTTTTAATGCTCGCAGCAACCAATCACTGTAACTTAAAATAGAATGTGTATGTTTCGTGTGTTGCGCAGAGCATGCATTGACAATTATGCTGACGTGCACGAGCATAAGGAAATTGTGTTGATGTAGTGTTTGATATAGCATATAACAAATATAAACGGTGACTGCATGAACATCATTGATGATTATGCTAACGTGCGTAACGTGTGTAATGTTGTGAAAAAGGTAACAGAGAACAATAGGGATAAAAGGCAATTACTTGAACATATTATATAGACGATATATTTCATTTTCAGTGGCCTTCTCATTCATATTTCCATTCAAACTTTTTCGTCACAAAATATATATCAGTTAATCCTTTTTAGTTTTTATCCTTGCTCAACGCTCACTTCGTATATATAAGTAAAAATAAGCTGTTTAATGCCCCTTACCAAATCTACTACTTCTAAAGGCTGACAGACATTACATACCGCATGAAACCTCAAAGTTCAAATTTATAAAAAGTTGACAAGATGCTATAAACTAGAAAATTCTATACATCCTGCGCTGTCTGTAGTAAAGAA